TTTTTGTTGTTGTTGTATGCAGTTTCCAGCAAACTTTAATTAATTTTTTTCTATTTGTGAAAATTTCTACGTTATTTAAAGGTAATTTTTATTATAGGCCTATAGACCTTACACAGCATTATTAATATGATTTTGGAGGTTACAGAACTTTGAAATTACTTTAAAAAATGGAAAATGATTATATCATTTGATTTCAAGATATTTTGTATACCTTAAAAATAATTAATTCTATCCCGGGATTTCCCGGGATCCCGGGAAACAGTTCACTTTTATCCCGGGAGCCCGGGACAAGCAAAAGACCGAAAAATGAGAAACCTTAATCTACACTAAGTATTGAACTATAGGAAAATATCAAAAATTGATTCTACATTTTATTGTGTTTTTTTATAAAACGAATATAAACACGCAATAAAACCAAATTTATTAACATTAATACACATTTAATCGTGAATTAAAATATGTACTTTAACAATATCGTATCACAATAAATTTTATAATTATCATAATTTATTGGCATAAGACAGCCCTTAATTTTAGCTTTCTGTACGTTTTTACCTGTAATATGTTTAAAAGTAAATTCATTTCGCATTAAATATGCTAATCACTACGTTACGAAGTATTTTAGCACTCATTTTAATCATTTTGATTTATTCGAACAAGAAAATCCTATTAATTTGAGAAACTTCGTATTCTTCGAATCGAAAAAATTGTTTGGAACGAAATTTCTAGTTCTTAAATGGTTCTTCTTGGCAGACAAACCTGGACGTTAATTCCATTCTTTAAATATACGTTACGAAACGAGAACTATCGCACTCTTCACGCGGTGAAGTATGAGAAAGAAATACGTGGTAAGTAAGACTACATCCGTAGTTTTGAGTATTTTGTCGCGAAATGTAATTATTGGCACAGAAGAGGCCAACGCAGAAACACATGAAGAATACGTTTGCAAGCAGACAGGGATGACATAAAACAGTTTTCTTCAGCCGCGACGTTTCGAGAAGAAAATCGACGGAAATACAAATAGCAGTATTTCCAGTTCTTCCTGACTTTAATATTTTTAATAAACGAATGAATATTTATCGGAATGCGGCACCGTTTCTCTCGTTATTCGCTAATTAATTCAACTAAAATATTTACGTAACCTTTGTGCATTAACTTTGGGCTTAGTACACATTATGTGTACTTAGCCGAAGCTAATGTTAACCGAGAGCATTGTAAGACGGATGAAACGACATAAAAGTTTGAATTATCTCCATCGAAATGCTAAATTTTTTTTACCACCACTTAAAATATTTTGGATTTATTATTTGATGCAATCAAATT